GTGAAACAGCTGTTTCACCAAAATCATGTTCATTATATGTAATTGATTATTTGCATATATTTATACCTGCTGCACTAAACCAAACAATTGATGCTCCTGACTGAAACTCTGGGGTTAAGAAGTTATTGTGGAGAAAAACTTTAACAAACTTTTCAGTTTTTAAAAAACTTGCTCCTGGATGGATCCAGATGCCGTCCAGGAGAACAAGTCCACTTCCTGTTAATTCCAAAAAGTTGATTCTGTTCATCTGGACGTAGCGTTTTTATGGGAGGAACATTTTGTCACTCATCCGAGTGACTTCTTCAGTCTCAGCTGACTGCCGGCTTCCAACCTTATAAACATTACCTTTGCACAATGACTGAAAACAGCCCACTGAAACGTTTCTCCCACTGAACGCTACGTCCAGATGAACAGAATCAAGTTTTTGGGATTTACTTACCCGGATGATTGAGCATGCACTTCCTGTTAACTTTGTTGTGCAGAAACTGGCTGCCATTCAGACAAGCGCACAGCAGGGGGCGCTTGTGAGATAGTCCCAAATGAATGGGAGTGAATGCAGCTAAAGGTGAAAGTGCTTAAGCCTGCTGTCACACCCACAGTGGGTGGATCTGCATGTCTCATTTAGCACAGACGCCCTTCCTCATGCAGTGTTCCCATTTATCCAGGTCTGTGACCGGTGCTTGCAGCACACGTGACTTATGACCCCCCATGTTGGCACATCTCCTCTCAGAATCGAGTGAATGGACCTAAATTGCCAACATCATGATTAAGACTTGCTTCTGGGTGTCCACGGCGCTGGCGTGTGTTTTTACAAGAAAAAACACAAAACAATGACAAGAGTTTAATAGTTAATAGGATCTTCATTCGTTCTGATCTCAAACACTCCCCCAATGAAACAGGAAGTTGTTCGCCATAATTATCCAGGTCACGTCTGTCCATGTGACCACTCAGACAGGCTTTGCTTGTGTGAAATGTTCCTCTTCTTCAGCCTAAACATCATTACATCCTCTTACTATACAAACAGCAAAGTGATCCTGAGGGAATCATAAAGTCTCAAGGACACAGTGTTTATGTTTTTCAAGAGATGAACTGATCAAAGGAGTAAACTAGAAGCGCTCCACAGTCAGGATGTGAGCTTCGTTTCTCCAAAAGCAGCCCTCAGATCTCTTTCTATGTGACCCTAAACAAATCCTTTCTTTCCCTTTCATTTTCATGACTCTCTGTAAGAAAGGGTAGAAGTGTTTGTGTGATGATCTACTGTAAAAAGAAATAAAGAATAAAAAGACCAAGCAGGCGGAGTTTAACCTCTCAGTGTGGGTTTTATGTTGTGTCTGCAGATCTGAAGTTTCAAAGACAAATTTTGCAGCTCGTGCAGAAGGTTGAGCCTGTTGTGTTGCAAATTACCCTGCCAGCGAGGTGACCCACTGATTAGTGAGGGATGATTATGGGTGAAGTCGGAGACACCCACCCAGTGATGGGTAATAATAGCTCCACAGACTCTGACCACAGTGCACCCAGCCCATCCTGCTCTGTACTCGACATAAACACATGTAATTTAC